AAAGACAATTGCTCAGATTATCAGAGAAATGTTGAATGTACATATGTCACAATTGTTGGGAGTCATTGTCAGACACGTGCTCTCTGTTTTTAAGAGTGACTCATGGATCATTGACTCCATAGGCAATTTTTTAAAGTGTAGGGAGAGAACTGTTGTGGAAACGCATCACAGTGCATTTGCTACCACGGCCCCAGAGATGTGTAAAACCAAAGCAATAAATCACACTTAATGTCCAAAGGCAGCAACCCTCCTAGAAGGCACAACCACCCCTCTGTGACCATAGCATCCCCACCTTTTCCCAAGAGGACACAAAGTCCCTTGGTCCACTTTGGGTGATGTCATTCCTCTTCTATTTTTAACTTCCTGTAACTTGAATACTGTTGAGTGTCTGAGAGTTCACTACTAGTAGAGCATTTTATGTGCAATGTTAGGAAAATGACCCGAGGAAAGAAAAGGTGGTTAATACAGAAACAAATAGATTCACATCAAAACATGGCATAATACTCACCACTCTCACAGCCTGCCTTCCTGCTAAGGACAACCAGTCGTGGCTATGGGTATGACTGCCTTCCTGTACACCTTCCTGCTGACCCAGCAAGCCCTATCCCCCCTGTGGTGGACTTTAGGGAGCCAGGAAAGGGAGCTCTAAAAAGTGTAGTTGGCTCAGTCCCCCAGACACAGGTACTGCAAAGCTGCCCCACCTGCTTTCCAGAGTTTTAGTGGTGAAACAAAGTGCTCATTTGAAATAAATCTGAGAACAGTATCAGTTGTTCAAGAAAAGTTGATTACAGGGCCTCCCCAATGGCACAGCAGTTGAGGGCTGGGTTGCGAGGTTGCCCGCAGCCTCTGCAGTGCCGGTTCGATCCCCAGCCGTGCGAGGGTCCTACATGGCATGCAGACCTCTCCTGCTGCCCGCTGCTCCCCTCAGCAGTGTACTTCATCACTCTGTCTGCTCTGCTCCCCGCTCTGACTCTGGTGAATTCTCTCACCCTCCCGTGCCTCTGACTGTACCCAGTGCTCATATAAATAAATAAATAAATCTTTTAAAAAAAAAAAAAGTTGATTACATCAGTAGTAGTGTAGGCGGCTATAATAGATATAATATGCAAATGGCCACACACCGACTCCCAGATTTAAGCATGGACTTCTTGGTTTAAGAATCACTGATTCTGGGCCTCCCTAGTGGCACAAGGGGTTAAGCACCACACTATGAAGCAATCCACAGCCTGATCCCTGGCTGGCCAGGGAGCAACCCACATGGTGCAGCAGACCTCTCCTGTCTCTCCCGCTGCTCCCCTCAGCAGTATATTTCAGTCAATCTGCCTGTTCTGTTCCCCACTCTGTCTGTGGTGAATCCTCTCACTTCTTCCCTGCATCTCTGGCCTGTACCCCAGCTCTTGTATGCATAAATAAATAAATCTTTAAAAAAAAAAAAGAATCACTGATTCCACACAATCCTGACATCCTCCCGAGCAGGGTCCCCATCGCCGGACACGCTCACCATTCCTGACCTTATCAGGCTGTTCTCGGACTCTACTCCTTTGCATATAATGTGGCATCTGTCTGGGATGTCTCCCCGACCTGCTCCTCCAGTTCTCACCTTGCAAACACTCCCTGCCCCAGCAAGACTCCTATGACAACTCTCACCCGTGCCCCACAGCCCATCCATTATATGACCATGTATCTGTGTCTGCCTCTTCCACTGGGCTGTGACCTCTTTAGCCAATGCCCTTCAACACCAAGGGCCACCTGTCTGTACCTGAACAAATTTGGGCTCTCTACCTCTCACTCACCATCCCCAAGACAAGACCTTCACCTGCTATAAAAGAGAAAGCTCAGTTTTTCCTTCATGTCAGGAAAAACCCCAGTTCTTCCCTACCATGTGTTTCCTCAACCTCTGCGGAAAAATTCACTTCCTGTCACCAAATGCATGGAGGGTGTCCCCCGCCCCAAGCCGTTCTCTGACACCAGCTGAGTTTCTTACAATCTGCCTTGATCCTGATACTATCTACCCAGCCTGCCCCCCACCACACACAGGCGATGTCATCACCTGTCCTTCTGATCAGCTGGCAGTAGATGGGAGGGTCCAGTTGGGCCCCTTCTCTGGTTCAGTTCTCTTGCTAGCATGGCTTACAACTGATTTCCAATTTATTCAAGGATACGGTAAAGACACCGATGAGCAAACCTGGGGAAGAGGTCAGGGAGGGTCCCAAGCACAGGAGCTTCTGTCCCTATGGGGTTGGGGGTATGTCCCCCAACACTGAGAATCAGTTCACCAGCCTGGTGCTCCATGGCTCTGTGATTGGGATTTTATGGAGGCTTCCTCATACAGGCATGATTAATTATTAACTCTACTCCCAGCCCCTCTCCCTTCTCCGGAGAAGTTAGGGTGGGGGAAGTGGGGTTGAAAATTCCAAGCTTGTAATCAGAGCTTGGGTACAGGCCAGAGGTGCGGGGGGTGAGAGGATTCACCAGAGACAGAGTGGGAAACAGAACAGGCAGACTGACTGAAATACACTGCTGAGGGGAGCAGCGGGAGAGACAGGAGAGGTCTGCTGCCCTGTGTGGGTCAGCTCCCTGGCCACTGAGAATCAAACTCATGCTACAGTGGCTGTGGATAGCTTCATTGTGCTGAGTCTTAACCCCTTACACCACCAGGGAGGCCCTGCAATCATGACTTTCTATCAGGGAAGCCAACGTTGCATTGAAAGTCACCACTTGGCCTTTTTTTGAGGGGATTGGAGAAATAAAGTCAAGCAATACCTGAGTTGGCTGCCCACTTATTTTGCCCCTGGAAACACCATGGTCTGAGAGCTGTCACCATAGACGCCCTCAGGTCTGGGCCTTCTGGGGCCATTCCAACCTTACTGCACATTTCTGTAATGTGTCCACCTTTCCTGATGTTAAGTGCCACATCAGCCACTGCACTGACATAAGAGAGTCCATCTCCATGACAGCGCCGATAATGTCAGCCCCAGCTACGGAAAACAGCCTCTACTGAGCAGCACAGTGAGGTCAGTGCCCCCTCACCAGCAAATTCTATCTCCTTAGTGGAGGGAGTGCCTTTTGGGCTCTTCTAAGAGTAACAGGTTCTTTAGGATAAAACTGACTGTTTCCTCCAAAATTCAGTACTCTACCAAGGCATTCCTGAAGACTCCAGCTCATTTAATGTGGGCCATGGTCATGCCCAAGTTTCTCCACAGAGCATTAGGACTGATTCCAGGTGCCACTGCCAGAGCATGACATGGTGGGACACAGGGGAGCCCCTCTGGAGCTATAAAGTCTCCCTTTCCTTGCCCATTTCCCACCCATGCAAGCCACTCACCCTCCAGATCCACTCCTGGGCATGCACTCCTGTTCCTGCCTGTGCATATCAGCCAGGACTTGCCACTCCTTTGGCAAAGACTCCTGCCCCTCCCTTAGCAGAAACTGCGCTGGCCCCGTTTGGCCAGGGCTGTGACCCTGTCACAGGACCGGTGACTGGCAAGGTGGGAGCAGATTGCAGGAGAGTGAGTGGTGGTCTTGAAAGACATCTGCTCAATTAGATCTCTGCATGGTCTTTGGGGGTCATAGCTGATATTTTTAGTAAGGGGAATTAGATCACTTCTGCAGGCCCAGAGGGTCGGAGGTATTCTTAAGTACAGCAGGTCCATGAATAATGGTGTTCTGTTATAAAGTTGAGAAAAAATAATGGGCTCCTGGCCGGGGCCACTGTCTGGGTGGAGTATGCACATTCTCCCCATGTCTGCCTGGGTTTCCCTCAGGGACTCTGGTCTCCTCCCACATCTCCAAAAATGTGCATTCGAGGTCCCCATTGGAGTGTGGGTGTGTGATGTGCTCTGTGATGGAAAAGCATCTTGTCAAGGGTAGGTCCTGCCTTGACCCCTGAGCTCAAGTAGAGACTCTGGCCCTGGCCTAGAATAAGTGGGTTGGAAAATGAATGAATACAAATGACTGTTGAATGAATACAAATGACTGTTGAATATTGGAAGTGTTTGGAATCTTTAGACATTTAGTGGTTTTTGTGACCAGAAATAGCCATAGCAACTTAACTTGATATCAGTTAATCTTTGGTAACTGGTTTCATTATGTCATTTCACATACAGTCAGTTTTCAAGAAACTTTCAATGACATCAAGTGAGCACTTACTGTCCATTGCTCAAATACCCCCAATCCAAGTCAGAAGTACCCACTCCTTCCACATCAGGCCCTGACATGGGCATAGTGCAGCCTTCTCTGAAGTCCTACGGTTCTTGCATCAAACTCTATGCCTGGTCTTAATATTGGCATGTGACCTCTGCACGGAGGTCCCTCTTGCTTTAACAGTGGGTCAGAATGTCTCATTTCCCCCCATCATGACATTAACTGTTCAGCAACACCAACTAATTCCACAGACCTTGTAGTAACCATTGCTCCCACATATCTCAAGTGCTTTAAGGTACTGCAGGAGCTGGGGTATCTCTTCTCACCTGGTGGTATCTCATCCTGGCCATCAATACAACAGCCAGAAGTCACAACTCGCCACCTCCAAGGGGACCCTGTAAAGAGGCCAGATGTCCAAACCCAAAATACACTTCCTAAGATCACTGCCAGCACCATCCTTAGGGCAGGATTCCAAGCAGACCTTGAAACCGGGATTTACGTTTCAGTGATATATTAAGGCCATGCTCTGGGGGCTATCAGAGAAAGGGAAGTGGGACAAAAAGGAACGATGCAGGGGAACTCCCTGGTGGAGCAAGGGGTTAAGACGCAATCTATGAAGCTGTCTGCAGCCACTGCAGCACGAATTCAATCCCCAGCCAGGGAGCTACGCACATGGCGCAGCAGACCTCTCCTGTCTTGCCCGCTGCTCCCCTCAGCAGTGTATTTCAGTCAATCTGCCTGTTCTGTTACCCACTCTGACTCTGGTGAATCTCTCACCCCCTCCCCACAACTCTGGTTGTACCCCAGTTCTTGTATACATAAATAAATAAATCTTTAAAAAAAAAAAAAAAGGAACAATGCAGTCTCAAGTAAAACCTGCAGAGGGTGCTTCAAAGGGCTCTTGCAAGCACACTCTAGGGTGTGATTGAAGCCGTTGAGCTGTCTGGATGTCAAGCCCCCAAGCAGAAGAACTTGGCTTGCAGGTTCCTCCCAAAGCATTCTCTCAAGGGCCGAGAGCCACCATGGGGGAGGCAATCATTGGGCACCCAGGTCTCTGCACAAGTGGTCAGGGGCTCCAGCAGCCCCAGTGCCCTCCACATAGGACAGAAGGACACAAGAATGGTTGGTAAACAGGAATCTGAGAACATCTGGCTGATTGGATCTTAGAATCAAGGCCTCTCAGGGCTGGGAGGGTCCCCCATGCCCATGACTTCCTCCAAGTGACCATCCGACCAGGGCCCACGAACCACCATCACAGAACTCCAGTGTGCTGTTGGGCCAAACTGCCCCTAAGCTTGTGCTTAGGAGATGCCCAAACTGGCCTCCTCGACTTCCGTGCTATGGCCCCCACCTCTCCCAGAGGGCCAAGGGCCTGAAGCTGGGATGAAGGGCCTGGGGTGGAGGAGCCCTGGACAGGGGCCTGAAAATCAGTCCCTCGTGTGTAGAGCAACCAGGAAAACATTCCATAGAAATGAAGTCCCACAAAACCCAGAGGAGAAAACACAGAACCATGTATTTCTTCATTTTAATTTATTTTTTCATTTTTAGTTTCCCACTTACCAACACACTGATACAAGGTAGCAGGCTGTGTTAGTAAAGGAGGACCAGGGAGGGCAGGGTGTTAGCAGCCACACGTGGGGAGGCTGGAGCAGGAAGCATTTGGGGACCAGAGATGGCAGGCAGCCTCCTCTAGTGCCCTGTGTCACCATGGGCCTCAGGGATGGCTGCTGCTCTTAAGGACCCCCAGGCGATTCTGTAAACGTGGTAAAAAGAGCATTTCTGTTGCTCCCAACCCCAGCATTCTCCCTCTGACCCCCTGCAGTGAGGAAGGTCTGCTCAGGCCAGCCCCTGCCTGGCATGGCCCAGAATCCTGCCCTTGGGTTTTAAGACTCCAGCCCCAGAGCCTGGCCCCTGGGCAATCTGAGAAGTCTTGAGCTGGTGGAGCCCAGAGAGGGCAGGACCCGGCCAGGCAACTCTTTCAGGAGCCACTCCTTCCAACCAAGGCGAACACTCCCCAAATGCCCTCCGCTTCAGCCACAGGCTTCCATTCAAGAGGACCTTTAAGGGGCCGCTGTGGACAAGGACCGTGGCAGCCAAGAGATCCAGCGCCTACCTCAGACGTTGGGGGTGCCGGGACTGCCCTGGAGGGAAGGTTGTACCTTCCACGCAGAGCAGAAGCATTTGCACATTGACCCATGGAAACTGATCTGTGTTTATGAACACAAATATTTAATCAGGATAGCATCCATCCTGATGAATTTTCATCCTAGAAAGTATTTTCAAGGCAAATGCCACTGAGGACAATTTAATGCCTTGATCAGTTTTCTCCATAGTGCAGATAAATTTATTTCCTTGAAATAATTTTCACCAGGATCAAATCCTTTCGATGTGTGTCTTACCACATATATTTGATTCCCTGGCTGGTGCTTGATCCGTGCCAGATGCTACTGCTTGTCAGTATAGCACATCTGTCAGCACAGTCTTCTTCTGTGGTTCTCAGTTTCTAGTGAGTCCAGTTTTCCCGGGGAAAGCGGTGACTGCCCTGTCACCCGCGGCCTCCAGAACCAGATTCTCACCACGTGCCGTTTCTAGTGTTTCTAGCGCCCGTGCAAGGGATGTGCTGCTGCAGCCACGCCGGCTTTCCTCCGCGAAGCGCTCCCACGGGGAATTTGGGGTTCCCGGTTCCTCCGGGAGGAGGCTGGAAGTCTTTTCCAGCGGCATTCCAGGGTGTCTGGAGAGACCTCGGAATGGGGTCCAGACATCCTCCCTAGCAGGTCTCCCCTGAGGCAGCGCTCTGCCCCGCTCAGTGCCCTGGGTCACGGGGCCTGCTCGGCGCGCGGGGGCCCGCCGGCGGAGCGCGTGCTGCGGAGCAGCCCCAGGCCCCGGGAGCGGCCGGCGCCGTGCAGCTGGCGCTCGTGGCGGCGGATCTGCACCTTGTGGCGGAAGCGCTCGCCGCAGTCCTCGCAGACGTAGGGCCGCTCGCCCGAGTGCGTGCGCCGGTGGCGCAGCAGGTTGGAGGAGACGCTGAAGCGCTTGCCGCAGTCGCCGCAGGCGTAGGGCCGCTCGCCGGTGTGCGTGCGCTGGTGCTGCACGAGCGCCGAGCTCTCGCTGAAGCGCTTGGAGCAGTAGGAGCAGGCGTAGGGCTTCTCGCCCGTGTGGATGCGCTGGTGCGTCACCAGGTTGGAGTGCTGGGAGAAGCCTTTGCCACACTCGCTGCAGCGGTGCGGCCGCTCGCCCGTGTGCGTGGCCTGGTGCCGCACCAGGTCCGTGCTGCGGCTGAAGCCCTTGCCACACTCCCCACAGATGGTCGGTCGGTCCCGGGCACGTCGCCGCCGCCGCTGCCGGGCCGGCGTCAGGGCCGCGCTGCCCGCGGGGCCTGGGATGGCCATCACCGCAGGCGTGGTCACGGCTGGGAGCACCATGAGCTCCTGCACCACCACGTAGCCCGGTGGGGCCACCACAACAGTGGCCGGAGCCCCGGGTACCGAGGCCCCGTCACCTCCTGAGGCGGGCACGAGCTCCAGCTGCAGTTCGGGCTGCACAGGGGTGAGCTCCAGTTGCACCTCCTGCTGCTGGGCCCCCAGCTCCACCGGGGTCAGCTCCAGCTGCACCTCTTGCTGCTCCAGCTGCTGCTGCTCCAGCTGCTGCTGCTGCTGCTCCAACTGCTGTTCCAGCTGCTGCAGTTCCTCCTGAAGTTTGAGCTGGAGCTGCCGCTGCTCCTGTTGTCTCTCTAGCTCCTGTTGCCGCTCCAGCGCCAGCCGCTGCTGCTCCAGTTCCTGCTCTGACCCCATATCCACTGGCATGAGCTCCAGCTCCACCTCTTCCTCCTCCTCTGGCTGCTGCTGTTGCAACTTTTCTTGCTGTTGCTGCAATAGCTGTTGCTGCTGTAACTGTTGCTGCTGCAACAGCTGCTGCTGTAACTGTTCCTGCTGCTGCTGCAAGAGCTGCTGCTGTTGTAACTGTTGCTGCTGCAACAGCTGCTGCTGTAACTGCTCCTGCTGCAACAGCTGCTGCTGCTGTAACTGTTGCTGCTGCAACAGCTGCTGCTGTAACTGTTCTTGCTGCTGTTGTTGCAATAGTTGCTGCTGCTGTAACTGTTCTTGCTGCAGATGCTGCTGTAATTGTTCTTGTTGCTGTTGCCGCAACAGTTGCTGCAACTGTTCCTGTTGTTGCTGCTGCTGCTGCTGTGACTGATCCTTCTGTTGCTGTTGCTGCTGTAGCTGTTCTTGCTGCTGTTGCTGCTGTAACTGTGCCTGTTGTAGCTGCTGTTCCTGCTGTAGCTGCTGCTGCTGTAACTGTGCTTGCTGTAACTGTTCCTGCTGTAGCTGCTGCTGCTGTAACTGTGCTTGCTGTAACTGTTCCTGCTGTAGCTGCTGCTGCAGCTGTTCCTGCTGCAGCTGCTGCTGCTGCAGCTGTTCCTGCTGCAGCTGCTGCTGCTGCAACTGTTCCTGCTGCAGCTGCTGTAACTGTTCCTGCTGTAGCTGTTCCTGCTGTAGCTGCTTTTGTTGTAGCTGTTCTTGCTGTAGCTGCTGCTGCTGTAACTGTTCTTGCTGTAGTTGTTCCTGTTGTAGCTGCTGCAGCTGCTGCTCCTGTAACTGTTCCTGCTGTTTCTGTATCTGTTCCTGATGCAGCTGCTGCTTTAATTGTTCTTGTTGTTGTAATAGCTGCTGTTTTTGTAACTGTTGCTGCTGTAACTGTTCTTGCTGCAGCTGTTGTGGCTGAAGCTGTTTCTCCTGTAATTGCTCCTGCTGCAACAGTTTCTGCTGCTGCAATTGCTGCTGTGGTTGTAACTGTTCCTGCTGTTGCATCAGCTGAGGTTGTGATTTTGATTGCATTTGTTGTAGGGGCTGTTGATTTTCCTGTAGCTCCTGTTGTTGTGGAAGTAGCTTTTCTTGCCCATCTTGCTGCTGCAGCAATTCTGGGCGATGTTCTACTAGCTGGTTTTGTGGCTGCTGCTGTTGCAGCTGCTCCTGCTGTGGTTGTTGGTACAGCTCTGGCTGCTGTTCCTGCATTCGCAACTCCTGCTGTCCCAGCTGTGCTTCCTTGGTAGTGTCACTGGCCACTTTGGGGGTTGAGATTGCTGGCTGTGGTGGGCTGCTGCTCCTCTCTTGAGCCTCTTCTTCCTCCTGACTCTCATTCCCACCACTGCCACCTGTTTTGGAAATGGCAAGGAACCAGGAGAGAAAGATCTACATGCAGCTCTCTAATCCAGACTTCCCCCCTCACCCTGTTCCAAGTGCAGTCACACTATGGTATACTACTGAGCTCCCATCAGGGACCCAAAGCACTGACTCGAGACAGTGGCAGCATGGTGAAAATGGAAATACTGAGAGGTGTGGGGCTGGCTTACAAATGTGCCCAAAGGACTGCTAGTCATAGCACTCAGGACCCCAGTTTCCAGTCACTCCTCAGGCTTTCCTCCACACACAGACCTCATGCTTGGATCTTGGCATAGGTGCCTGACACATTTCCTGATCAGTCCCTGTACTTAGTGGGAACCATCCAGTGGAAATCAGCAAACCAGCCATTCCAAAGGCTAAGCTGCAAGCCCATGCTGAACTCTGACCTCAATTCAGGTCATACTTTAAATAAATGAAACTAGCCTTCTCTGTAAATAGTGAAAAATTTCTGTAAAGCTACCTAGAATCATTTCCATAGCAGTTTCTAAAAGCTACCAAAGTGTCAAAGAGAATGCAAGGTTTTGGTGCACCTCAACTCCACCAGTTAGCAACTGCCCAACCTCCTGCAGCCTCTAAGCTGTCGCTGTCTGTGAAACAACTTAATGATACCCAAAATGCCAGTTTAAAACAGGAAAGGTACTGCCATACTCCCTGGGACCTGGCAGATGTTTGAAAAAATCCCTCTCCATGTAGGTTCAGAATTAGTTGGCAAACTAACAAATGATTTGGAAATACCAAGGATACAATCAGCTTCATTTAAAACAACCTAAAGACTGGAGGTATTTTTGAAGTATTCTGTAATGGAGAGGATTAACTTGCAGCCTCAAGTCAACATTATTTAACTCCAGTTTCCCCATCTGCAAAGGGAGATAAATAGTTTTTAGGGATGTTGGGAGAATAAGGAGGAACAATGTCCAGCCCCAGTATTAGGCAAGGCATAGAGTAAGCCCTACAAAAAGGAACTGTTCCATTCCTACCTTTCACTTTCCACACACTATCCACACACGCAGATTCCCATTTTAAGTGTTACTATTGTATTCTCAGGAAATCCTAATTCTTTATATGTGTGATTGATCCTAAGAGACTTTCTCAATTTCCAAGACTGATTTCAACACCTGTTTTATGTGGCATGATTTTTTCAGTTTTGTAATGGAAAATAGTAGTGGTCTGATTTATAAAATTTGCTTTCGGCCTCTTTTCCAGGAATACATTGATTTAATAAAACCAAGAAATGTCTCATAAATAATTTCTTTATAGGAAACTAGTCTTAAGAACCTTTTCTTAGGCTAATGGATCAGTGAATACATGTTTCCTACACACTCATGCCAGCTGGGAGTATTCAGGTGGTGGGTGACGACTGCCATGAAAACCTGTACAGCCAATTGGTCTAGGTCTCAGACACACTTTTTTCCCCAGTCACCTCTGGGAGTGGCAGGGACACGTTACACATCTGTGTGTGGGCATCCTCTCATTTCTAGCCCTGTTCGATCACCTAGCCACTCCTGACTTCCTGCAGCAATTTCAGTATTTTTAATAATAATGTTTTAATAAATGTATCATTAAATGTCACCTGTGATGTATATCCCCACAAAATTTTAGTCAGTGAAATTTACAAGTTCACACATCCCCATCCCGGCCCTCCAGTTTCCTTTCTCCTTTTCATGCTCTGCTTGACTGTTTCAGCCCCTCACTCAGCACCCTGAAAGCACAGATGGGAAACACAGCTCCCATGAGTGAGACCCACCATAGTGTGGGTCCCAAAGAGAGAGGGGGTGTTTTAGAATGTTCTATAGGACTACATTTGCCCCTTTGCAAAAAGGGAGAAAGATGGATGGAAGCAGAGGTAGAGGAAAAGTGGATAAAGTCAGAGACCCTCAGGGCCAATGCATGAGGGTGGGTGGAGCACTGAGCTCCGTAGCCCTTGGGTTCCATCTGGGCACTGAAGTTCTAAGGCAGGGACAGGTGGGAGGACAGTTGAGGCTGCTGAAGTTGGCTGTTTTGGGGGGCCCAGCCTGCCTTCCACACCAGAAATAGCCAGATGAGTGCCCTTCCAGACAGCAAGTTGTCTGCCACCCTCCAAGTCCTTCTTTGCTGTGCCTGGCCTGGGACTCCATCAAAGGATCCTCCCTGGGGACCTGGCTTAGGAGCTGATCACCCACCCCAGCCCCTCACCTGAGAGGGTATCAGGCCCTGGGCCCCCATCTTCAAGACACCGAAGCTCCAGCACGAAGGTCTGCGTTGCTGGCCCCAGTTCCATCCTGGCAGTCACACCGAGATCCTGAGTGGCCAGCTGTGCTGAGAGGAAGGAAGGTGGCTGTCCAGATAGGTGGGAGTGCTGCGAGTCCCCCAGCCCCAAGGCACTGACTGCCCAGAGCCTGCTCCCTCTGCCTAGGGTCCTCCAGGGTGGCAGCTCCACCCCTGCTGCCACAGTGCCACAGCTGGGAAGGGAACAGTAAGGCCAGCTCCCTGAACCCACGTCCCAGGACACAGATGGTGCCCACATTCATGACCCCACATTTAGCCCCATGCCACAGCCTGTACAGCTGCTCCTCGCTGAGAGATGGCTGTGGGCCAGAGACCCTCACTAGAATGGGAGCTGCAGTCGCTGGGGGGCAAATATTTAAGGAGCTTGTTCATATCACGCTTCTTCTGCCTCCTTAAAGATACTGACAAATAAGTCCACCTCCCTGGTCTCTTGCCTCCCAGACTACTCTGGGCAGGGGGAGGGGTGGGTTTGTCCAGCCCGCCAGACTACCAGCACACTGTTGGGTCCAGGCAAGGTGAGTCCAGGTGCCACCTCAGCTCCTTGGGAATGCAGGATTCCAAGGCACCACAACCCAGGAAGCAGCTCTGTCTCTGGCGCTCATAAGGCTGGAAGGACCCCCCCTCCCTCCTGCGCCTGTCCACCCCGGGCCCCTGCAGAGGTGTCCCCACAACCAGTCCTCCGCTCCTCCTAACAGGATGAGTCCAGCTCCCTCTAGCCTTTCAAAATCCAGCCCAAAACCTCTCAAGAGACGTTCCTGGCTTGCGCAGCTCCCAGACCCACTGGGCCTTACCTGGTACAGCATTTCCTGCTCCTCAGGGCAGCCTCCGCACTAGGGGAGGTGTGGTCAGCACGGGCTGGAAGGTGAAGGCCGAGGCGTTCAGCCGGCTCCTTCCTGGGGCGCCTCCATCCAGCAGTAGTTGGGGAGGCGCAGGGCCAGCCGGAGGCCTTTCTGGGCACTCGGGAGGGTCTGCGCTGTGAGGGCTGCGGCGGTCGCCCTGGCCCAAAAGAAGGGGCAGTGCGGGGACCAAGAGCAGAAGTTGCTGCGCCCCGGCGGGCGCTGCGGTGCAGGGCGCGGGAGCAGGCGAAGCCGGAGTCAGCGCCGGGCTCGGGGCTGGCCGAGCGGGACCATGTCCAGGGGGCGGCCCCGGGCGGGGTCGCCGGGTCTGCGGTCGGCGGGGGCTGGCGCCCGCGGTGTCGCTCAGCCCGGGTCCGGCCGGGGTCCGCCGGCGGCCACAGGTGCCCGGAGCGGGCGGGCGGCCGGGGCCCGGGCCGGGGCGCGCGGGCGGGGGGCGGGCGCCGCGGCCGGACCGGGGTCCTGGATCGCTCGCCCGCCCGCCCGAGCGTGCGTCCGGCCGGCCGTGCGTCCGTGCGGGCAGCGGACCGGGCCGGGGGCGGGGGCGGCGGGGGCCGGCACAGGAAGTCCCCCCGGCATCTGCATCCTGTCCCCCGCCCGCCGCCCGCCGCGCCCCCGCGCCCCGGCCCCCGCCGCCGACACCGCCGCCGCCGCTCTAGGCCGCGGCGAGCTCGGTGGGCTTAACCCTTCCCCGCCCGGCGCTCACCGGCGGCGGGGGGCGCGCGGGGACCCGCGGGGGCGAGCGACCCGCGCGCAGACGCATCCCGGGGCGCGCGCTGGGCTCGGCGACCGCGGCTGCACCCGCGCAGCGGAGCCTCCCGGCCCCGGCCCGGCCGCGCTGAGGGGCAGGCACGGCCTGGGGGCGCTCCCGGTCCGGGTACAAATTATGGCCAATTAGCGCTCAATTAGAGGGCGCCCAGTCAATGAGGAGGCCTCCTCCTGCCCCGCCGACCCTAAAGAGGTCTCCCCTTGCAGCCACAGGTTGGACCCCTGCTCCGGGGCCCCTGGGGTGGCGGGCGCGGCGGGAGAAGGCGCTGGAGTGGAGGCCAGTCGGGGCGGTGAGCTGAGACCGAAGAGGTTCCGATGGGGCTGTCAGGGTCACCCCCATTAGCTGGCAGTGGGAGGCTCATCCCGCTCCAGCCCTCTTACTCGCTCCTGCGTGCACAGGGCAGTGGGCAGACCGCCCACGCTCCTCCAGGACCCTGCCCCCACGCCAAGCTGTTTCATGCCAGGGTCAGGGGCCTCCTCCTTGGAAAGGCCTTACCTGACCAGCTCAAGACCCCATCACTTTGCTGTGTGTTGTCAGAGCAGACCAGTCCGGTCTGAAGAGCTCACATGAAAATTGGGATCCTCGAATTCTCTTAACAGCCGGTGTTGGAGACGTGCTCCTGGGTGGAGTGTGGGAAGCCCCACTGGAGCAGACGCAGCCCCTTTCCCGCCTTCCCATCTCCAAGCTCCGGTGCTGCCGGATATGCAGCCCTTGTTGCATTTTAGATCCTTCCACAGGCACTGAAAACTGGGCCTTCCCCTAGGGCTCTTGCCTGAAAAGCCTGCACTCTGGCAGCCTCCCCCAGAGAGGAGTTGGCCTGCAGGACAGAAGGCCACGTCTCCCTCATCCAGGGGGCAAGTGTCGCTTCGGAGGTAAGGAGTCTGGGCTTATAGGGACGGACCCCATTCCAGTCAGATGACTTGAGGTGAAAGTATTGCCCCTTTTCCTAGGATGGGGACCGCTCCTGCTAGCCAGACAGCCTTATGTACAGCTGCACCCCCTGGTGCACCAGGCAAGTGAGTTCCCTTCCCTGGGCAGGCGAGGAGCTGAGCTGTCTCTGCTGCCCTCTGCCTCCCAGGAGACATCTTCCAGAGGGGTGCAGAGAGTGGGCTCTCTCCTTGAATCTTTAACCTCCCCCTTGCTGTGTCTTTCCCACTGCATTTGCTCATCCTCACAGCTCTCACATTTAAAAACATGCATCTCTACTTCTCTCCTGCCCTAGGTGACCAGGTTTCCTGGAAAGAAGCCCAAAACAGTGTCCAGATCTCCTTCTGCCTCCCTCCTTCCCCTCTCCAATCTGACCTGTGCCCCACCGCCCCACCGCCCCACCGCCCCACTGCCCCATCCAGAGAGCTGGCTCTAACTTCACCAGTGAGCTCCATGTCACAAATGTCATCTTATTCCATCTCTAGGCAGCTTGGAACACTTCTTCAGTGGCTGCCAAGAGAGAAGACTTTGTTTCCCTGCCTCTCCCTCTGCCCACCCCCGTCCCTTGCAGGCTCTGCGTCCTTCGCCAGACCCCTGGCGCCTCTTCACGCAATGAAAAGGGCAGTAGGGTGGAAGTGCCAGTCTCCTCAAAGCTCCAGTCTCGTCCCAAAGAGTATTTCTCCTGCCCAGACCTGAGCACTTCACCAGCAGTCACCTCTTTTCTTCTTTAAATTTTTTAGCAACAGTCTCTCCCCACTTCCCACTCCACCCCCATTTCTTTTGGTATTTGTTGACATACTTGAAAATAATGTACTTAAAATGCACTTACTTGATTTTTCCATTTCAGGGGTTTAATTCTTGTTTGCTAACAAGGGTTTCTTTGCTTATTTGCAGGTGATGTGTCCACTCTTCCCTCCTCAGTTGCTTGTGCAGTGTATTGGGTAGTTAGGATGACTGTTTAGTCAGGTGTTTCTTAAAGATGTGTACATCTTCGGTTAAGCACCATGGGGGCTGCAGTGCTCTGTCATGCTAGGCCTGCATCCTGAGCCCCTGTTGTCAGGGATAGAGCAAGGGCCTTGGGGTGAAATCAAGAAGCTGTCACTAGAAGGAAAGAAAGAACGAGATTTTGGGCGAAAACAAGAGATGCATCATAACTAGAATATATTGCTATTTATTTATAATGTATTTACATAGTTGATCACAATATACACATTGACTTGTAACAATTTGCTTTTTATAACTAAATATATTTCAGACATCTTTCCATATAGAACAAAAAAAATCTACCAAATTAGAAAAAAATCCCCCCTCACCTCCAATTGCAAGGATACACTTAATTTGTCCAGCCCATCCCCTACTGATGAATCACTAAGCTGTTTCTTGTATTTTGCTACTGCAAACATGCTCATACAGAAAACGCAATTGATCTGTGTGGCTCTCTGTGGGCTCTGTCCTGGTAGTGGAATCGCTGGTGAAAGGATACAGTTTTAAGTTCTGATGGGTTCTGCAGGACAAGGTGATACCAATTTAAATCTTCACCAGCTAAGGAGGCCAGTGTTTTTCCTCACCACTCTTATATCAAGGATATCTTTAGTTCTTTTTTTTTTTTTTTAAAGATTTATTTATTTATGCATACAAGAACTGGGGTGCAGGCCAGAAGTGGGGAGTGAGAGGATTCACCAGAGACAGAGTGGGGAGCAGAACAGGCAGACTGACTGAAATACACTGCTGAGGGGAGCAGCAGGCAAGACAGGAGAGGTCTACTGCACCATGTGGGTTGCTCCCTGTCCGGGGATTGAACTCGTGGCTGTGGACAGCTTCATAGGTTGCGTCTTAACCCTTTGCGCCACCAGGGAGGCCCAGGGATATCTTTAGTTCTAAATTTCAAAAATACCCAGTTAAAACTGTTATCCCATTTCACCGGAAGTGTAAGGGTAGGATATTTTAGGATTGGTTTATTTAGTGGCCCAAGGATACCTCAGCGACCAGCTTCCCAAGACGATGCCAAAATACCCAGTGACTCAGAATAGAGACAGTGTCCAGCATTAAAACAGCATGTCCCTACTTCTGGTACCTTTGGCTAGAAAACATTCCAGGAAGCCATCTTCTCAGACTCGCCCCACGTTGGCCAGAATCACATCTGGCCAAAATGTGATAAAATCTCCTTGTAATAAATCAGTGGTCTAGTGAGTAGACCACCCTTACCCATTATGGAACCAAATTCTCTCTTTTTTTTTTAAAGATTGATTTATTTATTTACACAAGCACTGGGTACAGTCAGAAGCACGAGAGGGTGAGAGAATTCACCAGAGCCAGAGCGGGGAGCAGAGCAGGCTGAAGGACCGATGTACACTGCTGAGGGGAGCAGCGGGCGGCAGGAGAGGTCTGCACGCTATGTGGGACCCTCCTCCGGTGGCCGGGGAGCAGCCGAGGATCAAACCAGCGCTGCAAAAGCTGCGGGCAGCTTCGCAACCTAGCGCTCAACCGCTGCGTCACCGGGGAGGCCCTATGGAACCAAATTCTGACCAGAGTGTGGAAGACAGACTGTTTCATACAGATCCCAGTTCACTCCATGGTTGGGGCTGAACCTCCTGGGGCAGTTTCCAAATCTTACTCACCCCAAATGAAACTTTATCAAGAAAAGGAAGAAGGATGGCAGGTAGGAGATGGCCAGTAATTCTGCCACATTCACTGGTAAAAACCACCAAAAAAATTGTAACAACAGCCAATGTGTTAGGCAAGATTATCTCATCATTTTAATTTGCTTTCTAAAAATTCCTTAGTGATATCAAGTCTTTTAAGTTGAAGAATCATTTCTTTTTTTTTTTTTTTTTTTTTTTAAGAGGCATGTATTTTTATTTATTTATGATTTTTATTTACTTGTTTGCTTGTTTTGTTTATACATGCACTGGGTACAGTAAGAAGCGCGGGAGGGTGAGAGAATTCACCAGAGCCAGAGCGGGGAGCAGAGCAGGCAGAAGGACCGAAGTACACTGCTGAGGGGAGCAGCGGGCGGCAGGAGAGGTCTGCCGCGCCATGTGGGACCCTCCTCTGGTGGCCGGGGAGCAGCCGGGGATCGAACCTGCGCCACAGAGGCCGTGGGCAGCTTCGCAACCCAGCGCTCAACCGCTGCGCCACCGGGGAGACCCTGAAGAAGCATTTCTCTCTCATGTATACTTAGTCTTCACCAATCTTGGCTCTCAACTCCCAAAACTCTTGGCATTCCCTAAGATTGAGGGTGTAAACACAGGGTCTTTTCTTTCGTGAATCAGAAGCAATTAAGGATGGGGGATGGGTGCCTGGAGAACCAACCTCGTATTTACAGGGTTGGTTGGAGGAAGAGGAGAGAGACTGGAGATCGAGTTGAGTCGCCAATGGTCAATGATTTAATCGATACTGTCTGTATAAGGCAACCTCCATAAAACCCAAAGAGGACAAGATCTGGAGAACTTCTGTGAGGAGAGTGGCACACCTGAGAAGGCCTGAGCCTCCCAGCTTTTTCCTCATTCCTTGCTCTGTGCATCTCTTCCTTCTGGTTTTTCCTGAATAAAATCTCCTTGTAATA